CTCCTGCTGAAGTAGGATCCGTGGCGTGAAACAACTTGGCCCTTGAGTTTTTGAGTGAACCACTCATCTTCATAATCCTCTTGTGATATGGCCCCACCACATAACATTACAGAGTTTGTTTCTTCAAGGATTGTCTCAGCCTCGGCTTCACTTCGCACTAGCACCTCTTTCAGCAAGGTACCTCTAGCGTACACCTTGTAATAGACGTCAGACGAAGAGGGAACAAACATCACTACTTTTTCTAACTGTACCTCGCTTTTTGCAGTCAGCACGGTTGTGCAGTAGACGACGCCGTCGTTATCCGGGAACTGATGCTTGCTCCAAAACAGGGAAGGAAGTCTCAAGGATCCAAACAAGTTTGTGCTGGCTTGTTTATCGTTTGAGCTTTCTGCATCAGAGTGTAGATCACCCAAGATATCGTCTGGACGCGCTTCCACGAGCTGGGCACACGTCGCAGGCGTTTCCGTCGAGTTAACGGCGCAGCCATCAACAGTCGCGCCAATGGTACGAGAACGTACCTTGTCGCCTTCAACGCTTCCCGATCGCTTTCTCTTTCGGGTCGATCTTTCTTGTGGTGTCTTTTTCGTCAAATACGACGCCAAGTTAGGCAGGATTGTACGCACAGCGTCCTCTCGTAGGCAAGGTTTCTCACGTGGTGTGCGTACTTCTTTCCCTTCGATTATGTGCACGTAGTCCCGTAGCACATACTTTGGCTCAAAATGAAGTTCACACACGGCGGATGTGTCGTCCAGGGCTTTGTCCGCTCGATGCAAATTCCTTTCCCATTGCTTCCTCAGGGCTGCATCCTTCGGAGCGCCGAACAAAGACGGCTTCTTGCTGCCCTTCACGTGGACGTAACCTATACGACAGCCTGGCGCAAAACAGTGGTTTTGCCGCCGCGGAAGCATTTTAACCTCGTTCGAGGGTCACTGCTTGTCAGGCCACATCACTGTTCGCCGAAGAACCTAGGGGATTGAGGATGCAAAGCGCGACGAGTTCTCAAAGTAACAAAACTCGCACACACCGACCGCCACTCCAAACAGGCAGCAACTGCCGCAGCGCCAACACTCGCTACATTTAATGCGGCGGTGGCGCCGCGCCGCGGAGGCGCGCCGAAGCACGTTTGTGTGACATTGGCGGCGTCACCGCAATGCATGACGCCGGCCGGCGAGTGAGCCCACTACCCTATTCTAGCTCACTTTAACGGCGCTTCAACGAGCATGGGAATTGATGGGAATGATGATGGGTAGTACACACATTTGTCCAATATTTGTACTTCTGGCCTGCCTTTGGCTCCGCGTGTGTTCATGTGGCTTAGAGCTTTTTTTCTCACAAAACAAAACTCAGCAATTGGTCAATGATTCCACTTCACCACCTTATTTTTTTTTACTTACCTTTCCAAATTGGGCCAGGAAGTTCAAAAGGGTTGATTTTTTTTTCAAAACAAAACAGAAACACAGCAGTAAACGAAGCCGCAAGTACGATTTGTCGCTCGCAAGTACGAAGACTAGACAAATGTGTGTACTACCAACGCCTCCTAGAATTCACGTGCCTGCCGGATTATAGGCGGTCGTCAGAACTACGGTGGTGGCACCACTCAAGTATGAGTGTCTTCAGATAGGTTTTTACGTTTTTTAGAGCTTATATGCAACAAAAATAACGTAAAAAAGTTTTAAAAAGGCGTAAACGTAATTTAATTAACCCTACGTAAGTGACGCTGTCATTCATCAAGCAACTTTCTTTATACAAGGCATCCTCTGAAATTAGTAACAAACGACAAAATTGCCAATCTTAAAAAGCCAAGTACAAAGACCCCTATTCCTACGTAGGCAGCGTCGTCATAGATGGCCGGCGTTTAGGGCTCATTCGGCAGGCACAAGAAATCTAGGAGGCGTTGGTACCACCCTTCCTCCGTGGTACCACCCATCATTCCCATGGTCGCTGAACGATCGCAGCGCCAGAGTGCCCTCTAGGTAATTTTCTATGAAGCAAATCGCACCCGCCTCAGAAATAGGAGTTCGAAAACTGAAAAAGTATCTATAAACGTTGCCCCCCCCCCCCCCAGCGATGAAGCAGGTTGAGTACAGCCTGGAGGTGCTAGGCGACGCTGCGAGTCAGAGGAGCGTAGAATGCCGCGGGCATCAAGGCACCCTAGAGGAGCGCGTGTGTGAGCCAAGGAGGATACATAAAGCTTATGTGTCCTCCGTGGTGTGAGCACATGTTGCGATGTCTGTTTGGCTGTTAACGCGTGACCAGTTCTTTGTTGCCGGTCTTTCTCGCAATGGATAACTCTGCTTTTCGCTAGATTGTGGTTGGTTGGTTGGTTCCTCAACCCTTGGCGCAACCCACCTAGGGGGATAGGCCATGAATGGGACGGCGCCTTGCTTTTTATATTGATTCACTTCTTTAAAGAGAGGGTTGGAATAATTAGGTAATATAGGTAATAAAAAAGGTGTTAAATTTCTAAAAAAAACGTTGAAAAGAAAACATAATCAACATACAAAATGAAAAGAAATACATTAAACAACTGAAGTTACTGATTTTTAGCATTCCATTCTTTTAGATTCTCGTAAGAACTTTGTAACAGCGGAAAAAACGCTCCCGTGGTTGAATCTAAATGCGACTGCGCCAAATGAAAGAATCACCGGAATTGCCAAGCTAGATTGTGCTGTACGGGAGTGAAGAAATTACGATGGTGTTTGCGCTTGTCTACTGGAATGAGAAAAATGGCTGGGACATGGCGGGGCAAGCGAGACAGCTTTTGCTTTGTGCCAAATTGTAACAGCGGCTACCGTTCGCGTAAAGAGGTGCACTCATTATTTGGGGTGCCGTTGAAGCTGACCGCCGGGAAAAACGGTCGTGGAACAACGAGATGTGATTGAGTCCTCGACAAGAGCAGCGCTGTTTGTGAGCGACAGTTCGAAGCAAGGTTCATACAGCGAACTTTCAAGACGACAATCGACGCTAAGGTTATTGAGATCCCCAGAGACTTACCACTCTTATTAAAATATGCCATTTTTACAATTTTCTCTAATGCTCCAAGGTACCTTTCAAAATCGCTGCGGGAAAAAACGGAAGTATCACAACCATAATGATCAGATTCTCCCCAAACAGAAGCGAAAACGTGAGAGCCACTCGTTGTCAGAAGTTGAGTGGAACGACGTTGCTCAAGGCAGTTCAGTCGATGATGTTCCTGAACAGAAATGCCAAAGAATGTCGAATGATATGTAGGCTGAGTCGGTGCCGCTGTTAAAGCTTGTGACTAAGAATTTCAAGGGCTGTCATTTTCAAAGCTCACAATTTCAAATGAGTGGTCGGAAATTTTCCTGCCGTGTGTTAGGGACTCGATTCTTTATGCCAAGTTGAAAGCCGGCGCTGTTGAACAAAGCAAGGTAGCATTGAAAAAAACTCGTTCAGATCAAGAAACAAGCTGCTGAAAGTGCTGCAACCGCCGAAGTTCTCATAAGAAGAAAGAAGTGGCGCCAAGAGGAGCTCGTTCCACCAGAAGAGGCAGAGTTGATGGGAAAGAATGTGAGCGAATTGACTGTGTGTCCCGGCGGGGGAACGGAGCCTTTAGCTAAATGCCCATCGTTTAATGGGCGTTCTCTACGAAGAACTGCATGCTTGTAGTAAATAACCTCAGTGCTTGTGTTCACTGCAAATATTAGAGAAAACTTATACTCAACCAGCTTTTCAGAAGACGATGTCAGAAGATGTTTACGAAAAACTCCCAAGCATTTCCCCGAGGGTGAACATGGTTAAGTGCGAATGCACGGGATGATGCTATGAGGGGTATTTATTAATTCGCACTATTATATTTATTAATCACACTATGGTGCCTTCATGGTGTAATGGTTCCTGGGAATCGCAATTTGATCACACGGTGGAGTTTACGTTAACTCACTGGCGAATGCCAACGGATTTTAACTTTACTCCCCTTGATAGCATCACCCCGTGCATTCGCACTTAACCATGTTCACCATCGGAGAAATGCTTCGGAGTTTAATTACCGATGATGATGATTAAAGTGTAATTAATGAATTTAAGTGTTGTTTGTCATGAAGCATTTGTACACAGATACATTATATACGAAGTATATAATGCGGAAGTATAGAAGGCGGGCGCGCGCGAGAGAGGGGTGCGCGCGCAGCTGCAGCGAGCGAGGAGAGCGGAGGAGCGAGCGAAGGGGGAGGGGGACGCGCGCAGCGGCGTTAAAGATATAAGGCGCGTTACTGACACCGATGTCAGCGTCGCGTCCGTGGCTTATTCGGTAGAGCGTCGCGCTGCGGCCCGCCAAGTCCTCTTTCTTTTAAAGATAGAGAGAAGACTGCGTACGCCACCGACGGCGGTGGCTGGTTTGGGGTCGTTATAAAGTGTATTCACACTTAAAAGTCGTTGCAATATACGACATAACCTTCGGAGAACGAAACCCAAGCTTAGCAGCACAAAAATTTGCTTGAGCCGAGTGAAAGCAAATTATTAGCAGTTATCCAAAGAAGCAGTACTTGCAGGAATTAGAGACCTTCGATTGACGCTTCCCGACCGTTGAGTGTGCTAAGCAATATAAGTTATAAAACACACAAAACCGAACACATACAGTTGTACGCAAAAAGTAGACATTTAGGCTCTAAAGGTTAATACGTTTAAATTCACGCAATACTATTTGAAAGTACATCACTACTATATAAAATTTAGTACCTTCCCAAAGAGACAAGTTTAGTACCTTCCCAAGAGACAAGACCGAATTGTAGTCGGGTGTTTTTGTGTACGCTCGTTATAGCGAGAGAACAGCTAGTGCCTATGCAAAAGGGCTGAGTTTCACCATTAAGTGGCATTTATCGAATAAAAAGCCGCGACGACACCTCGGTACAATACACAAATCGGCCACCCAGCCCGCTCACAGAGTCATCACGGCAGCGAGCGTAGCGCTCTTTTAGTCAGCAGCGCCCTCTAGTCACGCATGGAGCGGTCATTGCTAGAAGCAAGAAGGACCCTCTTTATGGCGCCGCACGGCACACTTTTCCTTCTAGTACACTGTACTTTAGTGTATGTATAGGATTACAAACCACTTGAAACTTCGGTCGATGCTTTTTGCCTGCTTCTGCGTGGACGGAGGGGAGAAAGTATGCAGATCCGTGTGATGGAGTTCTACTAGTGGTGATGTTTCCGTTGTTTTGGTCGCCGGCGAGTGACACATGAAGAGGCCACGGTTTCAGCGTAGCCCACGGGGAGGATGCGTCGCTGGTGGTGGCACCTGTGCGGCGTCTCGGTGCTCTGCTGCTGGGTCGCTGTGTGCGATGCGACGGCGCACGGTGAGTTAGGCCTAACGCCTCGACGGAAGCACCGTCGCGATCGCGCACATCTCATTATTGATCGGACGACTACTGTGCCGGCACGTTTGAATTTCATCCTTACGACGCTGTCGTGGTTTTAGCGTGTGCTTTTTGGCCGCCAAGTGTCACGAAGGATTTTCCGGAGCGACGTCACTTGGCAAAACAAATAAAATCATTGTTGGTGTCACTTTCTGTGGCGGCCATTCAAACCACGCTTTGAACAAGTTGTGTTTGTTCCACTAAATTGTGGGAAAGAAGGAAAATAAACAGGCTTGCTCAAGCCGGCAACCAGAGTTGCAAATACTAGTAGTTCGTACCTTCCTAAAAATATATGTATCTCCACAGGGGAGGTCGCAGAATGTTTTAATTAATGAGCCGACGTTCTTTTTTAAACAACAGTGGTTTAGACTAAAGTCTCAACAAGTCATTGTCGTACAGAAGCTCTTGCAAACATTATGAGTAAACCTTCGTGAAGTACTGGCACTAAGACCTATTCAAACAATGAAAACAGAATAGAAAATAGAAATAGAATGAATAGATCGCAAAAATCTTCCTAGTAGGTACCTTAATGCCACTTTAAAAGACTACCTGAGAGGATTAAAATTAAACATTGTAATAGCAACTGATGCTTCAGTTTGCGAAGAAAAGGCATGAGTCGGTAATGCATCTTCAATGTTGGATTGGTCTTTTTCATATCGTTTACCTGATTTTATGCATATTAAGCGTAATTATTTGCGATTCTCTTAGCATTACGGAAATTGCCCCAATCCATAACATATGCTATCATTTTTACAGACTGCCTGTCTGTATATACTTCATTAACTGTGCCTAATATATTCAATGCTTTAAAAGTGTTCTACGCCCTTGCCCCAAGACGTTTACAAGTCATTCGCTTGGTGTAAATACCAGGACATGGAGGTTTAACCCTCAATGAATATGCAGATGCACTTGCAGTGGCCTCACATAATTGTCCCCTAATTTATATATTGCGGCACGCTAGCATTTATCGCTGTTGCACGCTTTGAAAAATTCGTCACATCAGATAATTTTGAAAAGTCTCGCTTGGCATCATCTGAGTTTTCACATCTTAAGTACCCCTGGAAAAATCAATGGTGCTCCTCTAGAAGGGCGGAGATAAAAATTACGAAACTACGATGCCGAAGCCCCCCCCTCTAATTTTTATCTACACAGGTTTGGTCTGGCACAGTCTCCCCTATGCTTCCACTGCAACGAGAGTGAATCTCTGCATCATTTCCTCTTAACATGCAGGTTATTTACAAATCAAAGAAAAAGACTGTTAGAAGAACCTCACTGTAGGTTGGCCTTGAATTTATCTCTTCTGGTGGTCCTTTGGAGCAACTGAAAAGGGATTTAGCCACAGGAACGTTTGCGATTTTTTAAAGGAAAGAATACGAATAGAATGTAAAGTTTCCGCTTAAATTCACTTTATTTCCAAGCATATTAGCTTGTTGGGTTTTCTTTTTAATACTTCTATTTTTTTTTTCTAATCCACAGTTTACCGATCTGTTCTTTGTTAAAACATGCCTGTCTAAACATCCCGTCTGGCAAAACAATTCCATCTCAAAGATAAGGTACCATCCGTTTCATGACCCCGTGGTGGGTTGCGCCAGGACTCAGGAACAACCAACCAGAGTTGCAGCATGTGAAGCCTGGCACGGAAATGTTTTTTCTGAAGTGTGGTGAATGCCCTGTATTGACTTTTTTCACACCTATTGCGCAAGTCAGAAAGTGTAGACTGAATTTTTGTTCCAGGAAGGGGGGGGGGGGGGGGGGAAGAGATCAGTCATTCTTCATGTATTGATTTATTTGATTGATTTGTGGGGTTTAACGTCACAAGACCACCATATGATTATCAGAAACGCCGTAGTGGAGGGCTCCGGAAATTTCGACCACTTGGGGGTTCTTGCACACAAATCTGAGTGCACAGAGTACTTTATGTATGGTCGTGCGTGCATATGTACGCAAGCAAAAGTGAAAACGGTAATGTTTCATACCTCGAGGGACTCGACACCACTTCCTAGTACTGTGACAGGAATGAAGAAATGTGTGTATGATTGAGGCATGGCATATCGATAAGTAGTGAGAGCATAGAGAAGTATGCTGTAACAGAGTCGTTACGTTAAAGAAGGGAGGAATGTGCCCAAGATGAAATTGTTTATTTGGCTGAACTTGTGGATGGTAAATGGGAAGTCTGATTACAGCTATACACACTGGTACTGATAGCGGTGTACAGGACATAAGAGGATCTGACAAGTGGTGAAGCGCGTCGGCATTTATACAAGTGCCGTCGAATATTACAGTGTTATCGCTAGTGGCCATGTAAGCTCTATAAGATACTGTGATGTGCACGTAATCGCATCAGAATGTTCAAGGGTTATCTCGGTGGTTCTCGGTCATTCGGCACAGTTTGCGCAAGCCATCATTTGCAGTGTAACTGGTTGTTCATAAAGTTTGAGGAAGGAATGGCAATACTTTGCTAAAGAGTGGTCACTCGAGCCTTTTCGTGGCCAAGCAAGGAAGGGCCAGATGGCACACTCATGCTCGCTTCTACTTGTCAACAGGACCATTGAAACACCCGTCGGGGTGGTCTAGTTGGCTGCTGACCTGCAGGTCGCAGTATCGAATGCCGGCTGCGGTGACTGCCTTTTCGATGGAGGCGAAAATGCTGTAGGCCTGTGTGCTCAGATTTGGGTGCACGTTAAAGGGAAGCTGAAGCACTTTTTCAAAAATTTACTTAGGAACGTGTAAGGACATTTTGATCTCTGCTGAATTGGAAAAGCGACATGAGAGTTCCCAAAGTGAACGCTAATAGCATTTGGTGAAAAAACAGTGACACGCCGAGTGAACACGGTGACATCATTTTCGATATGGCGTGTCATCTGCAATAGCAGCACGGCCGAAGTGCGGCCTCTTCGATTAGTTTCGGCAACGGCACATCATGAGTTAGTCACGGAGGTCGTGGTTGAAGATAGAAAAGAGCACTAGCTCTGGGCCAGAGGAAACGAAGAAAACCACCATATATTTCCACGCCCACACTTCCAGCGCGCTCGTGGGGGCGGAGCAAGACAATCTTTTATTTTTCCTGTTCTAAAGCTCCTGGTGCTACAACTGCCAAAACAGTTATCACATCATCAATAATAATGCTGGTCCTTTCTAAACACAAACTTTGATTGAATTTTAAAACTTCTTCAGCTTTTCCTTAAAGAACCCCAGGTGTTTGAAATTTCCAGAGCCCTCCACTACGGCGTCTCTCATAATCATATGGTGGTTTTGGGACATTTAACCCCACACATATGGACCATCAGAATGCAAGTTCGGCATTAAAAATTTGTTCGAAGGAAAATGTCACTAATTTGTACAAACCTCTCTGTCAGCTCTACATGGTGTCTATTTAAAGACGTTTCAAGGGGTTGTGATAAAGGTTGCTTTTTAATGACCCTTGCACTGCCGGAGGCCTTTTCTAACAAGTTGTTGCAAAATGCATTGTTATGCAAAATAAATGAATAACAAAATCAGTCACAACGCAGAACAGCTCGCATTCACATGCACTAACTATTGTTGGTGACAGCCTAGAAATAAAGGCAGCATCTCTTGCGCCATGCGCTGCCAAGGCGATCTCACACAGAACTGGCTCCTGCGCCGCACGGAAGTAACGTCATCATTGTAAACTCATTTTAATATGTTAAACAAAATGTCTTGGACAAGTCAGTTAATGTAATTAGTTAATTAACCAGATATCGCAAGTATCTTAAATCCAGGCGACGCTGCAAATGTCAACAGTGGCAAATATGGTATCTGCCATATAGCTTCTCACTTTGATTCTATGATGTGCGGAATATTGCTGTTGAATACATTGTATTTTCTAGATTGCAATATCAAAATGTATTGTTGTTGAAGGTGAAAGTGACCTTGCTGCCGAGTACCTCATTGTGCTTGCCATGAAGTGTAAGGGCGACGTTGAAATAAATATTTTTGCATTGTTCGTGGCAATCTCCGTACGCACATGAAATCTCAGTGTGGTTGCACAGTGTTTTTAGGAAGCCTGTGATCTCTTAAGGCCAACGCTCCTGCATTGCAGGCTTTTTCGCTAAGTGCAAACACGTATCGGCCGTTCTCATCTGTTACTAAGTAAATAGTGCTGTGCTGTCACAGGCTGTGTTATACATATAGCCAATTCAGGGAGGGTCATCAGACATCCAGTATCAAAGGGCCTGTAGACAAAACCGACAGTAGCAAGTACGGCTGATGGGAGGCAAATGAGGAGGCACACTGAAAGTAGCGTCGTCGTATGTCCTATGCAAACAATTCAAACGACGAGCCTAAGTGAAAAAGTCTATGACGTCACTTCTCGTGCGATGCAGAAGCCGTTTCTGTGTGGAAGTGGCTCCTGCATCGTGCGGCACAGCGGTGTCTACCAAGAATAAATATAGGCCCCACCCAATTGGCCGCATTGCCGTTATTTTTCATGTCTCCTTGCTACAAAGGAAGTAGTTTCTCAGAAATAGTAACAACTTTCATGCATATAAACAATATCTTGCTATACAAGCATTGTACTAATAAAAAAGCCAAAGCTCGATAAAAAAAAAATTGTGAACATCCAAAGCTCAGTGACAGCTTTGCGATCGTTCTGTGTTTTAGATCGCGCCCCCAATCGCGCTCATCTCTTGAGTTCATGAAGGAAACGTTTCTGCACGATAGCTATTTTAGTATTAAAACAAGCAATGCCACATTTAATGTTAAGTTTAAAATGAAGCAATTCATATTTGGGATTTCACAAAACGAAACGGGGCATTAATCGCATTTCATAGAGTCGTCCGCAATTGCTTTAGTTTGTCAAAACTTTTGCTACGAGGTTTCTAATGCTGTCTGCTGTAATTACGGCTACTATGTCTTAAAGAGAGAAATGCCGAGGTAATCTGAGATTGACTTTGTGAATTTTATTCTTGCGCTGCCATGAA